ACTTCCCGCGAACCTCTGATTCGCGGGAAGCAGGGGCGGGGGAGGAGCAGGGGGCGGAGCATTCAGGGGAGGGGAGGAGGGGGAAGTGAGCTGGGGGCGGGGTGGAGAGCTGCGGCGCGGGGCCCTCTTGGCGTGGGGCCCAATTCAGCCGAATCGGCTGAATCGGCCTAAAGCCGGCCCTGCAGAGAAGTTGAATGTAGGAGATCATTGTGACAGTTCTCAGCCGCCAGTGCTAACCAGGGCACTATGCAGTGCAAATAGCTTTATTTATATGAGCTCAACAGGGCAGGGTGGGAGTGTCGCTCATGTATGAATTTGCAAAAGGAACAAGTCATGTAAATTCGCATCATGTGAGTGGCTGGGGCAGGATTCTGAACTGTCTTGTTGTTCATCTCTCGTTTATAAGAATGGAGTAGCAACATGGTTGAGGGGACACCATATGTGCTGCAACTAGATTTAAGTAGCCAAACCATCCACCCATATTCTAGAAGGTTTTTAGCAGCCTGGCCTGTTGTTATTTTATCTTCTAGTTTTTCACCTTCCACATGTAAATATAATTGAATAACCCAGTATTTCTTTCAGCAGGAGATTAACTAAAAGCCATCTGCCAAGCTCTGCTTTCTCACCGAGAGCCAGAATACAGCAAACTAAATAACAAGATCTACAGTGCAAGGGATGCACTGCTCCATGTGACAGCTGGGCTCACACTCTGTTCCTGGTCACCATTACTGAGCCCCAAGTACTGAGATGTGTTTCAGAACCTCACTTCCTACCCTGTGTCCGTTGTTCAAAGGGATTTGGGCAGCAACTAGAGAGGGAGAGATCTTAAGTAACTGAGAGTCCACAGCAAATGCTCCTGGTTTGTCTTTTGGCCAGGAGAGATACTAGAAAAGCTGCTCAGCAGAGGCTGTTTATGGCATTTTAAACAGTTTTTATGTTGAATTTTAATCTTGATCATGTAATTACATGGCTTAACCCGACCATTGCAGCCCCGTATTACTCCAAAGGCCTGGTTAATGGAGCAATAGAGGAAATTTCGTACTTATGCAATAATGCCTGGTGCACATCTTGATGTCTGTATAAATAGAAATATATAAAAAATCGTCCCGGTGGCTTTTATTTTAAAGTGCAGCTTTTATTGTAAGTTCAATAATAGAAACCTACTGTTATAATGTTATTTCTTCTTTATTCTCTAGCTATCAGAAAACAATTTTTTTCTTGGCTAAATATTTTCAGCTTTCCTCTTTATGCTGTTTGCTCCCTAAGCAACATGGCCTTTCCTTACTGCCCATTCTGAATGGTCAGATACTGTCATTATGGTGCTTACTAGGACCGTGGCCATGCCAGGGTCTGAGTGGCAGGAGAGGAAGCTCACAAGAGGCCCAGGTGAACAAACTAATCAACCTCATTGTAGTTTCTGATTTATTTGCAGGGTTTGTATTCAACTATAACCCCCAAACAAGCCAACAATCTGCCCCCATTCTTTCCTGCAGCTTTGTAGCCTGGGAACTGCAGCCCAGCAATATGAAACCAAGCAAAATAACGCACCCCCAGAGACTTCTCTGCCATCATTCCCTGCTCTGACTGATCAGAAAACCTGTCTGTACTTCACAGGAGAATAGCAACTGCTGTTTTAAGGGCTTGATGCAGCTAGACTGGCTACACCTTAATTAGCTTTCTTCAGGGAGGCCCTCCCAGCTGGGATGCTGAAAGCCTGGTGGGGATTTATTTCCTCAACCCCTAAAAGTACCCCCAAACCACCCCACAATGCAGCAAAATCAAACCATGCTGTGGCTGACTCAGCAGAGCCCCATCCTATGGGAGTGGTGGGGATGGGTTGCTGTAGATCTGAATGAACACCTGTAGGGGGCACCAAGTCACTTGGATTCAAGCCTGATTTCACCTGTTTCTGTACTTTCAGGGAACTCTGTTTTGCAAGGATCAGCCCAGCTAGACATTTGGGGCCAAATCCCTCCTTGGTATAACTACAGTGAAGTGAGCAGTTACCTCAGGGATGAATTTGATCTATATTGTGCCAGAGGTTCCCTGGTGTGTGTTTGTGTGACTTCCTTTTGTTGGCTCTAAGCAGCTGACAGGCGCCCCCTTGGGCGTTTAGATCATGTGGAGATGGCTGCTGGTGAGGGTACAGGAGAGATGAGGGTTATTACAGCTCCAGCTCTGTGAGGAATCGCATAGGTAAGAATTTTCAGAGTGGTGAGACGGGGAGCAGCAGGGCCGGTGGATGCTCAAGGTTGGCTGAGGTGGTTTCTGCAGGGTTTTCAGTGGGGTAGAGCTGAGGGTGGGCTGAATGGTGGCTTTGGAAATACAAGGTGACCCCACCCAGTGCAGGCTGATGGGGTCTAACACACGGTGGCCGGTGTGGGTTGTAAGGGGATGCACTTCGCCCTTCAGACAACACAGGAGAGCTCGGCAGAGTCTCAGGCCTTCCACTAGTACAGAAGCACAGACAGGAAATAATCCAGATGGACAGCACACAATTAAGTGGGAAGGTTTCAAGCCCTGATTACTTTCCTACCACAGTTCAGTTGTTACTCTGAAAAAATAGGTTCTTGCTCAGAGTGTGTGTGTGTCAGTTTTTGTTTGAAAAATTGATTGATGGTGTGGAATGGACCAGCCACTGCGCACACCTCCTCCCTGATTGATAACCCTCTGCCATCCAGGAGGCAGTAACAGAAGTTCATTTTAAATCTCAGCCTTTGGGAAGTATAGACATCATATTGGTCATGGAAAGAGCTGAGAAGGGGCATCATCCTCTTTCACGTGTGACTGACAGGAAACTTTGCAAGCTTTGTTCACACAGCTGGAACAAAAGCAACCTCCATTCACACAAGACAGTGGGAAGGTTTTTGTATTGGTCTGTATCACTGTGAGAGGGGCACTGTAGCCACTCTGCTGACAGTAATAATCTCCAGCATCATCGGCTTCAACTCCACTGATGGTGAGAGTGAAATCGGTGCCAGACCCACTGCCGCTGAACCGGGCTGGGATCCCAGATGGGCGGCTGCTAGCGCTGTAGATAAGAAGCTTTGGAGATTGCCCAGATTTCTGTTGGTACCAGTGTGCGTAGGTACCGATGCTTGAACTGGCTTGGCATTTGATAGTTACTGTTTCCCCCACAGACACGGACAGAGATTCTGGAGTCTGAGTCATCACGATCTGCCCACTTGAACCTAGATGGATAGAGATGGAACATTGGTGGTGGTAATGAGAGCAGCAAGAGGATAATTGGCCAATGACATAATATATGACTCAAGGCTTTACAGTGCAGCCCATCTTACATTGAAATGTAACAGGTGTTATTTAATCAAAAATCAGGCCCACAAGTAAGAATGAATTAAATAAAATATTGCAGCATTTCCTGCATTTTATTACATTGGTTAATAGCCCTGCAGACTCTTGTGCTGCTTCTTACCATGAACCCAGAGAACCAGCAGCCAGAGAAAGTGACTCTGGGAGATCATCTTGGCAGGCAGTGGCTGGAAATGCTTGTCACTGAGCCTTGTAGGGGAAAGCGAAAAGTTTATAAGTTCTCAGCAGCTCACAGGGGAAATGTCACGCGAGTGAATATGCAAAATGTATGGAAATGTTCTGTGCTTTAGTTCCAGGCAGAGATTTGCAGTGATTGCAGGTGGGTTCTATGTTTCATGCTGCGTGTGCTCAGTCTCATTAGAGATGGGCATGAGCCAGAACGCTGGTCTGATACCCTCTACTGCTTAGAGGATCCAGATCCTGTTCTGAACTTCTCCACTGGGGCCCCGCTCTGGTTATAATTAGTTGTAATATCTTTGTGATTCAAATACTCCTCTACCCGGATTGGGGCTACAGTGACATCAGAGTGTAACCGGGATGAGTTGCAGGTACTAGAGTTGTTTTGGAAACGAGCTAAGGTCACATTTGACCCTTCTTGCTGAGTTTTAAGCATATGCTTCTGCAGTTTCTCTCCGTGGGTCACCCGGGGAGCAGTGGATTTGAACACATGGAACAACCACTGAGAAGGTAGAATGATTTTATTTTCACCTGCCGTCATTAGAGCCTTGCAAACATTCAGCTCTCCTGCCCCCTTTTTTTCTTCCACAAACCATGACAGTGAATCCCTCGGTGTTCCCATTGGTGTGTCTTTCTGCAAAGCCTGGCACGGAAGGAAACGTGTTTTGCTGCACCTAGTTTAAATGTGTGATTTGCCATGTGTGCTCTCGTCATCATGGTGACATGTTCAGTTATTGATTTTAGAACCATATGACAAGGAGGCACGTCTTCTGGTATTCTTCATCTGTCAATAGCCATTGAAAGGCACCTTGATGCTTTGATTTACTTTCATTCAATTCTAATGATTTCTGAGAAGCGTTCAATACAGAATGATCCAAAGGGCTCATTGAAACCAATGGAGAGTTTAAAGTTCTACTCTGACTGTGTTTAGACAGAACAAAGTCACGTGGGTTGAAGAAAGGATGGGAAGCAGATAGTTGGTGTGGTTTGTGATATAACCGAAGTCTGTTCTGTCTCTGACACACGGGGCCTCCAGAGAGGAGACTAAAGAGAGGGATACTTAACCCCCGGCAGGGATGGAGAAGAAAAAGAAATGGAGAGTGAGGAATATTCTACCTATAACACCTTTTATGCTCTTGAGAGACGATACAAATAATGTTAGTATTCCTCCACCTGCAGCCATATGCCTCCACCTGCAGCCATACAGGTTCAGATACCATCTACTGCCATAGGCAGCAGAGATGGGTCTGGTAAATATTTGGATGGGAGATTGCTGAGAAAAATGGAGTTGCTGCAGGAAGGGGTGTTGATGGTTTAGTAGGAGTCCCTCCTCCCTCTCAGCCTGTACTGAACCCATGATCTCTGGTGGCATTAGGTGAGCTGCACTGCAGAGAGCAGTCATTTGGATGAGACCCCAGACTAGACCCCACGGCAAGTTTTGCAATAATAGGGATGAATATTAACATGTGTATTGTGGAAGAAGAGACCTATCAAATACTCCCTGTATTTCTAATGGAATACAATAATCTTGGGATCCAGTATTGCTCCTGCTACCACAGTGGAGCAGAGGGTGATCTGATCCCGATATTTGTTTCTATGATGGTTTGGGGATGTTTGGTGATGTATAAAATGTCAGGTGTATTTTGAGTTACTTCCTCTTTTTAATTTGCATTAAATGATAAAATTCACCATCTTGATCACAGCTGTGACAAACAAGCACCTGCGTGCTCTGTGCGCAGGGAGGTTTTTGTAATGGTCTGTATCACCGTGATAGGGTAGCTGTTGCGTTGTTGACAGTAATAATCTCCAGCGTCTTGCACTTCAACACTGCTGATTGTGAGAGTGAAATCAGCCCCAGACCCACTGCCGCTGAACCGGGCTGGGGTTCCAGAGACACGGTTGGTAGAATCATAGATAAGGAGCTTAGGGGCTTGTCCTGGTTTCTGTTGGTACCAGTCTAAGTTGTTGCTAATGCTGGTACTGGCTTTGCAGCTGATGGTGACTCTCTGTCCAGGAGACACTGCCAGGGATTCTGGAGTCTGAGTCAAAACAGTTTGGCCACAGGACTCTGGATATGGAAAGAAAATTCATGCAATCATGGCATGTTATTAAAAGTAATTACAGCTTGGTATTTAAATGCATTTTTCATTTAAGAATTTATTAAACACTAGATTTCAAAATAAGTACTGCAGTATTATTTTAAGCTTAGCTAGTATTTTATTGCCTATGAAGTCTGTTCCCTGTTGATATAGTGCTCACCCTGAATCCAAAGCACTAGTATCCAGAGAAGCTGGGCCTGCGAGAGCATCTTGACAGGTCTCCGTGGGGAATGCTGAACAGCTCACCAAGCAGTGCAAACGGGACCATTTATGAACGCTCAGCAGCCCAGTCAGGGAATGTCCCTCCTGAGTGAACATGCAAATGACCCATTCATATAAATGTGATGCGTTTTAGATCCAAGGGCATTTCCTGTTACTCTTGTGTGGTGTTGGTCTCTGTAGCCTGGTGATAGTGACTTATGAGGTAAAGTTGCAACACTGATGGTATTATGAATGGAATAACAGAAGGTGCTCTATGGAGAGGGGACCAGGAATGTTATATGTGACCTTGTATGTAAACAGTTAATATCTCCCAGCCATTTTTACAGCAGTTTTCAGATCCATTTACCTCCCTTTAAGTGTGTTATTCTCCTTGCCATGAAAATATTCATGGTTGCCCTTTACTTTACAAACTATGCTTGGTCGAGGGTTTGTCTTTGCAAAACGGCTGGTTCTGCTTGAATCAGACGTATTGCCGGCAGGCAGGCAGGGTATTGCAGTAGAGTCCAGACTGATTTCTTTCACAAGGGCTCTGCTATTAGCCACTTATGGAAAGCTGCCTTCATAATTTCTGGAACTGATACCATATATTGCTGTCCTAACCCCCATCACCATTGCTTCAATCTGAGTCCCCAAAGCATGAACTAGATGGGACTTTCTGATGAGTGTTTCTATGTATATTGTTCTAGATACAGTATTTCATGTCCCGGACAAACAAAAAATCACTTCAAATTACGGTTGCTCATTCATTCCTCGACTTACACACCAGCTGTGAAAGAATGCTGGAGCTAAAACCTTAAGGGCCAGATGCAAAACTCATTGAAGTCTATGGGGGTATTTCCACTGACTCCAATGTGTTTTGGATTAAGCCCATAATTCATAAAGCTGTGAAGATGCTTAGTGAAGATTGTCATTGAACATGAACTCTCATTACCTGATGGTTGATTAATAGGTGCCCTAACTGAACAGAGACTTTGGGCTGGTCTACACTGGGGCGGGGAGGAGAGGGATTGATCCAAGATACACAACTTCAGCTACTTTGCGTAGCTGAAGTCGAAGTATCTTGGATCGAATACCTGGGGTCCAGACGGCGTGGGATCGACGGCCGCGGCTCCCCCGTCGACTGTGCTACCGCCGCTCGCTCTGGTGGAGTTCCGGAGTCGACGGTGAACATGTTTGGGGATCAATATATAGTGCCTTAATGAGACGCATTATATCGATCCCGGATAAATCGATTGCTACCCGCCAATACGGCGGGTAGTGAAGACCTGCCCTCAGTGGGACACTTGTGTATTCACTGCAAATTAGAGCACTTTGATGATCTTTGGAGATCCACAGTTTACCATGGATTACAATTCAGTGGCTGTTGTGGATGCCCCATTGACCATGTCTGTGACTGATTCTGTTTGAACTAGCACTGTGCTGCAATTCAGTTGTCAGATCTTGATATTTGGCTACTTCCCAGTAACTCTTCCAGCATCTGTCTGAGGTGGATGGTAGGAGGAGGCATCTGCCTGTCCCTGGGATAGCTGTGGCATGGCCAGTGTGGTCACTGTCTTTCACTTCTTCCTCCTGGCCTAATCCTGTGGTAGCCCAGCCTGCATTGGAGAAGGAAGGGAATTTACAAGAAGGCTCCACTTCTTTTTGGTCTGTCCCTGTGACACCAGCTTCTTCTTGTTCTCCAGGCTCTCCTCCTTGTGGGCTGTTTTATTCACACCCTTACCCAGCTGTTCAACTGTTACCTGCCTCTCCAGTAACTAACCAGCCACTTGCTCCTGCGTGAACCCAAGACCCCTGGAACATGGTAGCTTGTTGGTGAGCTGTAGGGGGTCCGATCCTACACCCATAGATGTCAATGGGAACACTCCTGTTAACTTCACTGGGGCTAGGGTCGGGCTCAAAGACACAGATTTTTCAAAAGAGCTCAGCTCCCATTTAGGCATCTAAATATTGGCTACTCAGCTGCTTCTGTAAAGATACGTATGGGCAATTTTTCAACAGACGTCAATACAGACGCCCCCCGACCTACGCAATTGTTCCATTCCGGAAAGCCTTGCGTGACTTGAATTTTGAGTAAGTTGGAAATGTATACCCGTATGTTACACACAAATTTCTGCAACTCAAAAATCCTATTTCTGGCTTACGGAACTTTTTCCGTACGTGCAAATTTGCATATGTCGGGACTTGCATAACCCGGGGAGCATCTGTATACAACTTTCTGAGCTCTGTGGAACATTTAGTTTGTTCCCAAATAGGAGACGATCTCTTTGGAAACACTGGCCCATATTTGTTAATTATTATCATTGTTATTTGTATTGCTGTTGTGCCTAAGAGCTCCTGTGATGGATCCATTATGCTAGGTGCTGCACAAGCGTTGATTTTCTCATTCCTCCCTCTTGCATTTTTTCTTTTAAAAGGATCGCTCCGCC